AAAACTTAAATTCCTAAAGCTAATAAAAACCAGGGAAAGGGCTTATACATGCTGATCTCTCCAACAAAAAATAACATGTATCTTAAATTTCCAACACAAAAATTAAGTAAAGCCAGATTGAGAGTCTGTACCCAGTAGAGGAATGTGTAGAGCAATAGAATATTAGAAGCAAGAGGTAACAACCATATTCAGAGCTGCACATATCATGTGCCTTTTCTTATTAAAATTTTTTAAAAGCGCAGGTAAACAACATGGTGGCACACATCTGTAATTCCAGCACTCAGGAGACTGAGGCAGGAGAATAGGCAGGAGGATTGCCACGAGTTCAAGGTCAGCCGGAGCTACACAGGGAGTTCAAGATCAGCCTGAACAGGGGCTGGGGATTTAGCTCAGCGGCAAAGTGCCTGCCTGGCAAGTGCAAGGTTGTGAGTTCAATTCCTGGTACCAGAAGAAAAACGAAAAAACAAAACAAAACAAAAAAATAAAAAAACAAAAAGATCAGCCTGAACTGTGTAGCAAGACCCTGTCTCAGAACACACACACACAAAGGAGGTACATGCTGGTGTGGTGGCACATGCCTGTTACCCCAGTACTCAGGGGACTGAGGCAGAAAGATTTTTGAGAGTTCAAGCCCAGCCTGAACTACAAAGTGAGACCCTGTCTCAAAAAAACAAAAAACAAACAAAAAAAAAAACCAGAAACAAATGACTAGTAAGAAAAGAAGAAAAAAAGGAAAGAAAACTGATGAAACATGGGCTGGAAATGTGGCTGAGTGGTAGAGTTCTGCCTAGCATGTGCAGTGTCCTGGGGCTGAATCCCTAGTACTCAGAAAAAGAAAAAAGAAAACCGATGAAATTTATGAATTATTCCAGGCGTGGTGGTGCACACCTGTAATCCCAGCACTCCAGAGGCCGAGGAAGGAGGATCGCTGTGAGTTTGAGGCCAGCCTGGGCTACAAAGTGAGTTCAAGCCTGGCCTGAACTGCATAGTAAAACCCTGTCTTTAAAAAGGAGACAAAAAAAAATGTTAGGAATTATAAAAATGGGCATTTACTTCTTATCTACCTTATATAAATGTTGATTTTTTTTTTTTTGCTAGGAATCTAACCCATAGTCTTTGATATGATAGATAAGCATTCTAACACTAAGCTACATCCCTAGCCTTTATATGATTTGTTTGGTTGGTTGGTTGGTCTGGTGAGCAGGCTCAACTGTCCTCTGGTTTGGTTTTTTTTTTTTTTTTCTGGTACCAGGAATCGAACTCAGGACCTTACGCTTGCCAGGCAGGTGCTTGTGCCGCTGAGCTATCTGCCCAGTACTGCCTTGTTCTCCAGGAGGTGTGAGTGCCACACAGTTTTCCCTCCAGAGCAAGGGCAGGGCTGCTTCCTCCTTGGAAAACAGAGTGAAGGGGAGGCATGCTCACTGCTCACCGTAAAGATTCCAGTTCCCGCCCTCGCTATGCTGCTGCTGTGCGCTGTAGTCCGTTGGCTCTTTCCGTTGCCGTGAAGAATTGGGACTTGGGGAACTGCTGCGGAATCCTGAGGGGTGGGCTGTTGCTATGAGTAATGCATTGGCTCTCATCTCTTACCATGATTCTGCTGTCTTCTACCAGCCACCATGAACCTGCAGCAGTCTATCTTGGTAACTTGGATGGAAGGTGAAATCTCAGACTTCTCACGGTTTTTGACAGTAGATTTCTTTTTTTTTTTTTTTGACACCAAGAATCAAACTCAGGGCCTCAAGCTTGCTAGTCAGGTGCTGTACCACTGAGCTATATCCTGGCCTTGCCAACAGTGGATTTCTTATAGATAACCTAGAGGAGGACCTTGATGTATTGTTTTATTGGTTTTGGTTTTTTATCCCATATGATAATCTCTGGCTCAGAATTAGAATATTTTGGCCATGTACACTTAATACAATAATTAGTAGGCTCAGGCTTAACTCTGCTGTCATTTTCCTTTGGCCTCAAGGGCTTCTTTTAGCATTCCTTGGAGTCTTTGTTCAAGCACAGTGTCTAGTGCTTAGATTATCACTTTTTTCTCCTGTCAGCACTTCATCTTATTTATATCATCCACTCCTGGAAAGGCAACCAAAGGGTCATTCCACTCCCAATACCCTATCCCAGGAACTTCCAAACATGGAAAATAAAAGCTGGGCCTGGTGGTAGAGTGTTTGCTAACCTGCATGGTCATGGGTTTGGTCTCCAAGATTATGAAAATTTTTTTAAATAATGAAATATAGTCGGGCGTGGCTGCACACGCCTGTAATCCCAGCACTTGGGAGGCTGAGGCAGGAGGATTGTTGTGAGTTTGAGACCAGCCTGGGCTATAAAGTGAGCTCAAGGCCAGCCTGAACTGCATAGCGAGACCCTGCCTCAAAAAGACAAATCAAATAAATAAAATACAAAGTTCACAATCACTTTCCCTAGTAACAAGCCATTGTAAGCAGGGAGCGTCCACTCTATATTATAATCAGTTGCTTTACTTAAGGAAAAGCTTTCTACGGTTTAGAGGCCTCATGGAAACCAGCTGCGCCACCCCAGATGTGTGCCGGGACCCTTTATCCGGTGACTCAGGTGCCTGGCCTCTCTTGTTCTTGCAGTTCCTGCCCCCCGCAGACAGATGAGTCTCACACTACTGAGCTCAAGGCCAGCCTGAACTGTATAGCGAGACCCTGTCTCAAAAATCCACACACACAAAAGGAGCACCTTGAAAGAAGACACAGGGCGGGGATAGAGCTCGTGCTTAGCACGCCCACAGCCCTGGATCCCACCCTCTGTCAAATGAAACACACACACAAGACCCACAAGATGCGGAGAGACTGGTGAGTGGGTACAGAGTCAGTCAGAGACGAGGGATAAATGCGGGCGTACTATTCCCCTGACGGGTGATTGCAGTTAACAGTGCTGTATAAACTCGGCACAGAGAGGGTTTGCAGTGTTCTCGTCACAGTAAATGATACATATTTGAGACGACCCATAACCTAAATATTCTGAGTTCATCATTACATAATCAATACACGTACCAAAATATCACACCATACTGTCAATGTTTTTAAAAACGTGCAAGAATTATCATCAACTACCCTGGGCCACATCCACTTTCTTAGAGCTTGGGGCGCTACACTGTCAACGAAAACCTGGTCACTAAGTTGATTCCTCATGGTCGGGTCCAGGGGAAGCCGCAGTGAACATCATGCCTGCCTCCACAGGCCGTGTCCCAGCCTCTGTTCTTGTATTTTCACTCCAAGTCCCCACTTTCTTATGATAGCTCACGAGTCTCCATAATCAGAGATTCGGTATGGAAATAGAATTTCCAGGTTTATGCTTTTCTGGCAAGGCCTTCTTCCTTGAAATTGGATATGAATATATACATCAGACACAGCTGGAAGAGCTCTGAGGGGTGGTGTCCCAACAAGGCACGACGTCCTGCCCTTTTAGAATTCCTGGGTCTAAGTACGTGAAGGTTCAGGCTCACCAGGGTCCCTGTGAAGCCAGAGGGAAAGGAAGAACAGAGGCCTATGGTTGAAGGACTAATAGAAGACTCCTTAAACCTTGTGCCGGTCCGTATAATACTCCTATTCTGGCCATTAAGTATCTCTGTGAATGGGGATGCAGACTTTTTTCCCAATCTCAAAGCTACAGCTGAGATCATCACACCTCCTATTCCAGTAGTGCCAAGTTCAAATGCTGCTCTGCCCCACCCCATGGAGGCTGGCTATTTTATTGTCCTGTGCTTTCTCAAAGAATCCTGCGCATCTGCCCTCAGAAGGACCCACCACGCCTGGGGGCTGGGAGGCTCACAGCGAGTCCTTCCTTCTCACCGGGATTTTCCGTTCTGGCGCTGGGGATTGAACCCAGGGCCTCACGTGCTCAACCCAGCTCTACCACTGAGCCTCCCAAGTTGTCAGTCCGAAACTCAGCACTGTGAAGTTCTCCTCTAGGAGGAGCTTCGGTACGACTAGGAAAGCTTTGTTAAACTCTAAAAATGAATTCTAGCCTCTTTCTGGCCATTTTAGCAAAGAGACCCGCAGGCCTTTTCCAGCAAATGATCCAGGACTTAAGGCAGACTTGGCTAAGGGAAGTCTTTCCCCTGGCTGTGGACCGAACACCACCAGAGCTTCCCGAGACCGCCCATGACAAAGGGACTGCTAGGCCCAAGACAGACCGACCACAAAGACCTCCAGCTCCTTGGAAATTCCTTCTTCTTTAGGACCCAGCTGAGTCCTTGTGGCAGATCCCCTCTGCTGGGGGCCCCAGGGGAGGTGCTGCGGTAACTGTGTGGTGTGCCCGTGTTTGGTCTAACTTACCCTCAACCTTTATCCAGCTCTGCACATGAATGATGGGCTCAGGACCTTACTGTTTTTTTGTTTTTGTCTTTTTGAGACAGGGTCTCACTATGCAGTTCATGCTGGCCTTGAACTCACTATATAGCCCAGGCTGGCCTTGAACTCATAGTGTTCCTCCTGCCTCAGCCTCCCAAGTGCTGGGATTACAGGCGGGTGCCACCACATCCGGCTTAGGTCCTTACTGCTGTAACTGCATCAAAAGCACCCATGCCATGGCAAAGGCTTACCCTCCTTGCAAGAAGGTGTTAATGGACACCATCAACCCAGGGAGGATTCTGCTGTCACGGTTTTGGGGTCTTCCCTTAACCTGATGATCTGTAGCTGAGCCACCATGCAATCTGTGAACACCTTTACTTTCTCCTATAGGTGTCCCTATCCGTCGCTGTTCTTTGAACTCTACGATGCTCCTCCCATCCCGAGAGGAGGGAGAATCGCAAACTGGAATTTGTCGGAGTCATCTGCACCCTGTGCACACTTGACCTCGATCGTTGGTGGATCAGATCTGCAGACAGAAACTGGAAATTCTCGGGCTGACTTTGCCATAGCACACGTCGTCACTCTCAGAGTGTGACCCCTTACGTCCCAGAGAGCACGCTGCTCTCCAAGGAGCCGGCTAGCCAGCTAGAAGGCGGAGAGTTCATACACACAGCTCTCAGATGCACCTTGGGGTCATCTACAGCTTCTGGATGCTGCAGAAGGGAAGAGGTTGTGTAACCTCAAAGGGCATCTCTGTCGAGGTCAAGAAACTTCAAGCCACCTTCATGCCGCCAAGGAAATAGGTGGCATCTAGATCACTCCAGATGCTAAGACAAATGCCCTGTCCAATCATTTACCCCAAGTAGGGCCATTACAGATGTGATGATCCCCCCAAGGTGACTGCAAACCCCAGGACCTTGGAGGAGCCCAGCGCAGCCATTAGAGAATGTAGCTACACTGGTTTGAGGCAACTTTCAAAGCTCATGGTATAGGTAAGTGTATATTTCATTGTACGTAAATATCACCTTTAAAAACATAGACAGCCAGGCGTGGTGGCGCATGCCTGTAATCCCAGCACTCGGGAGGCTGAGGCAGGAGGATCGTTGCCTGTTTGAGACCAGCCCGGGCTACAAAGTGAGCTCAAGGCCAGCCTGAACTGCAGAGTGAGACGCCGTCTCAGAATGACCAAAAAAAAAAAAAAAATTGTCAAATGCTGACATTTATTTGTTTATTTATTTGCTTGGTTCTTTTTGAGGCAAGATTTGACTCTGCAGTGCAGGCTGGTCTTGGACTCATTTTGTTGCCTGTCTCCCGAGTGCTGGGCAGGCGTGCACCACCACCACGCCTGGCCACAAATGCTGAACTTTATTTTTATTTATTTATTTATTTATTTTTTCTGGTACAGGGTATAGAACTCACGACCTTGTGCTTGCCAGGCAGGCACTGTGCCACTGAGCTAAATCCCCAGCCCCTGCAGCTCCCTCGGGATGAGGGATACTTATGGACAGCGACTTCCCACTGAAGTTACCCCTCAGTATCTGTGGACAATTGGTTCCCCAGCCCCCCACCCATCAGTATTAAAATCCAAGGATGTTCAAGCCCTTAACAAATAGTCTAGGATTTGCATCTAATCCTGCTGCTTGCTTCGGATCACCTCTAGGTTATTTGTAATATGCCTGATTTAATGTTACAAATATTTCCGATCTGCCATGGTTTGAACTGGACGATGCTGAAGGCACAGATCTAGGGGGACACTTTCCACAATGAACCCCTGCGAGCGAGTACAGGATGCTTTTCTTTCTTCCCCTGCCTTCCGCTTGGGGCACTGCAGAGAGGATCGAATCCAGGGGTGCTCCGTCTAACACGGAGCTGTAGCCCGCCCTGTTTCAAACTTTGAGACAGAGTCTCTCACTAGGTTACTGAGATGGAACGCAAACTCACATTCTCCTGCCTCAGCCTCCGGAGGCTCACCTTTGCACACTGTCTGTTGTGAGACCCTGCCGTGAAGAGCCTCCCACCTCCTCCCACCCGGGAGGGGCAGTGCAGGGAGCCCAAGAAGCTCCCAGTCTCTACTGTCCAGTCATCTCCCACTCCTCCCCGCTGCGGCCTGGAGGACGGTGTCCTCTCTGCCCCACCCCTGCGCCCTTTCTGCAGCCTGCAGGTGTGGGACAGAGCCTGGGCAACCCAGCTCAGAGCATCTCTCTCTCTGCAGTTCAGGGTGGCCTTGAGCTCACTTTGTAGCCCAGGCTGG